GAGTGCACAAATTTTTGTGCACTGGGCCTCTGGTAAATATAATGAGCCAGGGTTCATAACGACCGAAGGCTCAACCTAACACTGGAAGTCAGTGCTGGGTTGCTGTGGTGACCCAGCACTGACTTCTGAGGGGCTGCAGATTAGGCCTGGAGAGAGGCCTGCAGAGAGAGAGGCAGGGTCTGATCTGCAGCCTCAATGGAAGCTGTTGATCAGCCATTGCCTCTCTCTTTCTCTTGGGGCTTTACCAGCAGCCATGACTCTGTTTCTCTCTGGGCCTCTGCGGGGCTGCTGATCAGCCCCACCTCTTTAATCAGGCCCAGAGATAGGCCCAGAGATACTGTCTGGCATAGAAACCGACCAATCAGAACCAAATCTGGGTGAAGTGCCAGGAGCCAATGGCTGCCTAGGAGGCAGAGCTTTTGACCCTGCTTGCCATCAAAACTGACCAATCAGAACCTAATATGGGTGAAATGTGAGGAGCCAATGGCTGTCTAGTAGATGGAGCTTTTGATGCTGACTGGCATAGAAACTGACCAATCAGAACCTAATCTGGGTGAACTACAAAGGCAGAACCTAAGGTGGGGGATGAGGAGGGGTTTTAAGGGCAACAGCTGTTTGGTGTAAGGTGTAAGAAAGAGGTTCATTTTTTTAATGACCGCTTTGGCAGTATAGTGCATATGGTTGGCTATCAGTCCGGATATAGGGATTATGTGTTTTTTTGTCTGCCAAGAGCATCTCCTCCTGCTGAAAAAGGCTTTTCCCCTGCGTTTAAGCAATCCTATTCTATATAATCTATCCTATCTAATAAAATAGTAATATGCAAATTAACCATCACTCCGCAACAATGATGGCGGCACCCATAGCAGCCGGGGCGGGACACTGGTGGCATTGCCCTGGCAATGCGAGCCCAGCGTCCGCTCCTTGGCTGCGCAGAGGGAGGGGAGGGGCCTCTGGCCAGAGGCCTGGAGTGGGACACTTGGCTCACATTGTCCCTGGCTTCTGTGCCCCAGCCTCATGGAGGGAGGGGAGAGGCCTCTGGCTAGAGACCGGGACGAGGGACGCTGGCGTTGATGCAGACCGGGCTGAGGGACCTCCCTTCCCCCCGTGCACAAATTTTTCATGCACCAGGCCTCTAGTCTATACTAATAAAAGGGTAATATGCTAATTAGACTGGGTCAACCGGCCATCTTCCAGACATCTGACTTCCTTCCAGACAAAGCCATGGTGGTAGGGGCAAAGGCAGAGGCAGTTAGGGGCGATCAGGCCAGCAGGCAGGTGAGCAGTTAGAAGCCAGCAGTCCCAGATTGTGAGAGGGATGTCCGACCACTTGTTTAGGCCTGATCCCTGCGAGGCCCGGGGCTCAGGCAGCTGTGAGCCCCAGCGGCTGCGAGGTCTGGGGCTCAGGCTTCGCAGCCACTATGGCTGGCAGTGGCAGCAGCAGTGGGGTGATGGGGACGGTGCCTTCCCCTGATCAGCCCGGTAGCCTCCCACAGAGGAAGGCCAGACTGCAGCTTAGACCCGCTCCCAGGGGGAGCAGGCCTAAGCCATGAGTAGGACATCCCCCAAGGGATCCCCAGTTGGAGAGGGTGCAGGCTGGGCTGTGGGAAATCGCTAACCCCCATGCACTAATTTTGTGCACCATGCCACTAGTCCTATATAATAAGAGAGGGATATGCTAATTAGCCCTAGTAGGCTAATTAGTCACGACCAGTATGCAAATTGACCATCAGTCCAACACACAAGATGGCTGCCTCCATGTGGTCAAAGATGGCCACCCCCACATGGCCACAAGATGGCTGGCAGGGGAGGGCAGTTGGGGAGGACCAGGCCTGCAGGGGAGGGCAGTTGGGGAGGACCAGGCCTGCAGGGGAGGGCCATTGGGGGTGAGCAGGCCAGCAGGGGAGGGCAGCTAGGAGGGACCAGGCCAGCAGGGGAGGGTTCTCCCCCGGGGCCCTCCCCCTCCCCCAGAGCCTCCCTGCAGCCTCCCCACTTTCATCCTCTCCCTGGGCTGCTGCCCCCTGGGTTCCTCTTTCGCACCCACTAGTGCTGCCCACACACAGGACCCTCATTCCCAGGGGACACCCAGAGCCAGGGCAGCGCCTGGGGAGGGACTGCCAGGACATAGCTGCTGACCAGCCCAGGAACCGGCGATCCCCTGCCCGCTCCTCTGCCCACTCTCTGGGAGGCGGGCTCTTGCCTCGGCCTGCGGGTGAGGAGCCGCTTGCTGACCCACCCGAGGCGCCAGGCACGGATTCCTCTCGTGGGGTTTTAAGGGCGATGCCGCCCGGTGAGCCGCAGACGTGGCTGCCGCATGATGAGCCCTGAAAGCCCTGCGGTCACCGGCCAGGGAGCATTTGCAGAGTTTTGGCAACTGACTTGGTTACTAGGGCGAGGACTCAAAGCCTTTCGAATGTCCAAGTTCCTTTGCAAAGGCCGTAGCCCCCCCCCCCCCCGGGGCGGGGGGGGGGGGGGGGCCCGGCGGGGGGGGGGGGGGGGGGGGGGGGCGGCACTGGCACCCGCCTTGGCTGGCTCCGCCCCCTGCCATTGGTCACCTCCCTCTGTGGGCTGGGGGCAGCTCCTGTGTTGAGCGTCAGCCTCCTGGTGGTCGGTGCGCATCATAGCAACCAGTCATTCCACCGTTTGGTCGATTTGCATATTAGGCTTTTATTATATAGGACTAGTGGCCTGGTGCACGAAAATACGTGCACTGGGGGGAGGGTCCCTCAGTCCAGCCTGCCCTCTCTCACAGTCTGGGAGCTCTCAGGGGATATCCCACGGGGAGCGGGCCTAAGCTGCAGTCTGGCCTCCCTCTGTGGGAGGCGACCAGGCTGATCAGGAAAAGGTGCCATCCCCATCACCCCACTGCTGCTGCCACTACCGGGCATGGTGGCAGCGAGGCCTGAGCCCCGGGCCTCGCAGCTGCTGGGGCTCACAGCTGCCTGAACCCTGGGCCTCACAGCCGCTGGGGCTCAAGGCTGCCTGAGCCCAAGGCTGCCTGAGCCCTGGGCCTTGCAGCCACGGTGGTTTTCTCCGGATGGACGTCCAGAAGGCGTCTGCCCTAATTAGGAGGCTGCCTGAGCCCAAGGCTGCCTGAGCCCTGGGCCTCGCAGCCACGGTGGTTTTGTCCGGATGGACGTCTGGAAGGCATCTGCCCTAATTAGCATATTACCCTTTTATTAGTATAGATAACATGCTAAGAGTTGCCCACCTAATAGATCTCCATTGTTACTTGAACTTCTAGCAGGATAGTTGAGCATGATAATCTGAAAAGTTT